TAATCACCAAAATGGATTCTGACATCCTTCTTTTTTACACAATAGGTAGCACAATCTTTTTAAATAAATTTTTTGTATTGTGGTAAAATATACATAACAATTACCATCGTAACTACTTTAAGCTTATATAGTTCAGTGGTATTAAATACATTCTCATTGTTGTGCACCCATCACCACCACCCATCCCCATAACTCTTTTCATCTATAAAACTGAAACTCTATACCCATAAAACAATAACGCCCCATTCTTCCCTTCCCTCAGCCTTTGGCAACCACCATTAGACTTTCTGTCCATGCTTTTGATTGCTCTAAGTATAGGTAGCATATTATATATATACCCTTTTGCACTTTATTTTTTTAACTTAGCAATGTATCTTGAAGATTTTCTATATGAAAGTCTGTGACGTACTTCTCATTATTTTCATAGGTGTATGCATAGTATTCCCCTGCATGGCTGTGCTTTAGTTACCCCTCTTCCATGGTGGATATTTGGGTTGCCTCCCATGTTTTGTTCTTATACACGATGATGTAAAATGCCCAGTGTTTTAAATTGTTTAGATTTCTTTGTGCTTCATTAAAATAAATTTGGCCACCTTGATTCACACCCTCACACTTAAGGCTCAGATTTGGGGCCACTAGCCCATAGCGCTTCTCCCAGCTCCGACAGGACGATAGCCCTTCTTTTTCCATGGAGGGAAAATGTGTGCCCTGTCAATGTGGAAACCGCTTTGGCCTCTCCCTCCCTCCCTCATGCCCATTCCTGACCTGTCTGTCTGTCTTTGGGATGGCAGCAGCTCTTTCAGCCCCTACGCTTCTTTTGCCCCCACATTCCAGCGGGATGAGTGGGTCTGGGGAAGCTGGGAGCGCAGTGGCATTTTTCTGTGAGTAGGCTGCAGAGGGTGGGGCCAAGGCCCACACTGGGCTTCTTCCTGACCTGCCAGGCTCTGCACACACCCAGAGCTGGCTACCAGGCTGCCTGTGCAGGACCCCCAGCCCCATCCCTGCCTCATCTGACCCCTTCTGAAACTTGTCTGCCACGCTTCACCACTGGTCGGTGCCTACTGAGAATGGGGCGTCCCTGATGCAGATGGCCCCTGAGCCCTAGGGTGTGTGTCTCAGTCTTGATCTCTGGATTGGGTGGGACTCCTCAAGGGTCTGGGAACTTCCAGGGGTGAGGCCCCCAGAATGAAACCACGGCTCCTCCATCCCCTGTGAAACGAATGAAGAGTGGCCATCAGGGTTCTCCGTGATCAAACCTCAGACCCCTGCCACCAACCAGGGAGCGCCGCCTCCCAGAGCATCTCTATGCTGCCCACTCAGGGGCAGCCTGCTCCTTAGGCTTTGGGACAGGCAGCTTGCCTCCAGCCCTTCCTTCAGGGGAGTGGGAGTTTGTGAAGCCATCCAACTCCCCAGAGGGACTGGCCACAGGGCCTGTGGCAGGGGTGGCAGGTGGGGGCATTTCATAGCCCAGAAAGACAGTTAAGGGAGGAAATAACAAGCGATCCCTCCTGGCTGAGGTGCCTGAGCTGGCAGGGCTGGGGCTGGGGCTTCCTCCTGCATTTCCTCCCATTGTTCCCCACCCTACTTCCCGTAATTCTCCTGGGGGAAGGGGGGCTGGGCGGGCTGGTGCAGGAAAGGGAGGCAGATGGGGCCTGGCTTTGCTCTCGCCCTCTGGCCCCACTGGTGCTCTGGCCTCAGGGTGTAGAACCAAGCCTGTCGCTCCCTCCCCCTCCGCTGCTCTGCCTGGCCTGCCTCCAACTCCCGCAGGTTAACACCTCAGGGGATCAGGGGACCTGAGTTCCAGGGCAGGCTCTGCCAAGAGGAAATTGCTTAGCAAGAGGAAATTGCTTAGCAAGTTCCTCCACTCTGCTGCCTCGGTTTTCCCACAAAGGACAAGGTGACTCCGATCACCAGTGTTGTGTGGATGCATGGGTCACCAACACCCACTGGTCTTTTTGATAATGCCTGGGTCCTGAGGACACTTCAGGCAACAGCCTGGTAATAGGTGCCCTCTTCTCACTGGCCCCAGGACACTCCAGGAGCCCCCAGCTCAGTGAGCTGTGGTACAAATTTGCTCTGTGCTGTGAAAGCATATAAAACAAACCAGTCCAAGTTCTAGAAAATGTAACTCTACTAGCATTGCGAGGGCCCTTAGAACCCCAGAATGAGTATTAGTGCACATCTCTCCCTTTAGGCTTTTCTTTACAGAAATGTTGGAAAAATTGGTCTTGAAAACATATCATGTTTATTGCCTTGCTAGCAAGGAAACCTGCAAGAGGTGACCAAGAGTCTGCTGGTTCTAAGAGGGATGGATATCGAGGGATTGTGATGTCCAGAAGCTTACATAGCGGCTAGTTTATTTATTTATCATGGTAAAATATGCATAACAAAACTTACCAATTTATCTTTTGTTGATTAAAGAACATCTATGCCTACAGGAAAGTTTCATAAGACTTTATCTGAGCCAAATTTTGAGAGCACGACAGAAGCAAAATCTCCACGGACTGAGAAAATGATGTGGAGAATGGCAGTTTTGCAGCTTATTTTATATGTTTAGAGTCAAAGGAGAAAAGAAAGGAAGGTAAATGAAATCCATAAGCGGTAGGTTAAGGAGGCGGGAGAAAGCAAAGTGTGGAAATCCCTAAGATAAGATAAAAAGCAAAGTGGAGAAACACATACTTATTTTACATTGATGGGTACAGGATAGTTAATAGTTAACATTTACAGCACATGGAGCTGATATGCGGGAAACAAATTAAGAGTGAGGGATTCTGCAGTTTCCTGCTCTGGTGCCTGGGGCTGTGTATTTGAGAGGTCTAGAAAATTACTCTGACGTTTGACAGGTATGTTATCTTAGATGCAAGAACAATTGACAGGGCTCACTTAAGGTCAAGAATGACCTTTGCTAAAGAAGCTATAGGCCTTGGACGTGACTACCCGCTATGACTTGCCCAGTTATGAATTTATGATCGGACCAGCCTGTGTGGTTACTTTCGGTTACTGAGCTTGTCAGGCCTGCCATGTAGCTCCCTGAGTTTGTCAGATTTATTACATAGCAACGTTTTCGTTCACAGTGTTTTAAGCATACAGTAAAATAGCATTAAGCACATTGTTGTGCGACCATCAACACCATCCACCACCAGAACTCTTTTGTCACCGCGTACTGAAACTCTGTACCTATTTAATGATAACTCCCCTTCCCTCTTCCCACCCAGTCTTAGATAACCACTATTCTACTGTCTGTCTCTATAAACTTGCTCATTCTAGGTACCTTCTAAGTGGAATCACACAGTATTTGTCCTTTGCATCTGCCTTATTTCACTTAGCATAATATATTCAAGGTTTTTCCATGTTGTAGCAGGTGCTGAAATTTCTCTTCTATTTAAGTTTGAATAATATTCCATTGGATGTATATACCACATTTTACTTATCCATTTATCTGTTGATAGACACTTGGATAGCATTCACCTTTTGGCTATTGTGAATAATGTGCTATGAACATGGGTGTGCAAATATCTATTTGAGTCCCTGATTTCAACTTTTGGGGGTAAATATCCAGAAGTGGAGTTGCTAGAGCATATGATTGTTCTTTTTTTAATTTTTTGAGGACCTGCCATACTCTTTTCCACAGCAACTGCACATTTTTCCATTCCCAACAGCAGAGCACAGGTTTCCAATTTCTCCATATCCTTGCCACCAACATCTGTTATACATCTTTTTAATTATGGGCAGTCTATTGGAGACTGAATTAGACTGGTGGGCGCCAGGAACTGTAGGGAGAGGGTGATGGGGAGTTATTGTTTAATGAGTATAGATGATGAGAAGGGTCTGGAAATGGATCCTAGTGATGGTTGTACAACACTATGAATGTTCTTAATGCCAATGAATTATAAACTTAAGAATTGCTAAATGAAAAATTTTATGTTATGCATATTTTACGATTGGGGGGAAATTTGCATTGTAAATTATTTTTCTCATCAATCTTTTTTTATTATTCCATTTCACTTTCAAAAATGTTAAGTGAAAAAAACAACAAAAATAAAAGAAGTCTTATAGGAGCAGTCCCCAAGAAAGGGTTTGCTTTAC